AGGCTCAAAACAACCTAATGAGACAAAAAGTGTGATTTAAACACTTTGTGCTGAGATTTTCAAAGAAAAGTAACTTTTTGCATCCAAGTATCCAAATTTATATCGAATTATAGGATCGTGTCCAAACTTAACTCATTAATTTGCTTATAAAGTAAGCTTCGTATAAGCACTTAAATCAGTCCAATCAAACATCATATAAGAAAATGGTGCACCCTAAAATTTTATTTTTGTGAACTGTCATATGACAACAAAAAATGTCATGTGCACCATATGACACAAAAAGGGAGCCTGTTGTGCCACATGATGGGATGCATGTGGTGCACACTACGGCACACTGCCCTTATTCTGAATTTATTTCTTTGACTTGAAGCATGTATTGTGAGTGATTAACGCAAGAAATTGTCTTATGCTGTATATTATATGATATGTGATTGATTTCAAATGATTTTAATAAAAAAGTCTTGGGTTACCAAGCACTTTTAAATTGAATGTTTCTTTAGTTGTATATTATATGTTGTGATGATTTGTTAACCCCTTATTATGCTAGATTTGTGGTGAAACTACAGTTTGGTAAGGAGAGAGGTTACAACACTTACCCATATCAAATCCAAACATAAGAATTCAAGAAAGCCACTCTTACATAACCTTGCAAGGAATAACTCTCATCACAAAACCCTTCAAATCTTGGACCTTCGACAACAATCACAATTTCTAAATAGACCATCTAGGAAATCAAAATTTTTAAAATGGGCTCATTTGACCAGCCCAACTCGTCAAAGTTGACGGGTTAGCGGGCTAGCCCGTTGGGCTGAATCCATTTTCTCGGCTCTATTCGTTATGTTTTCATTACTTGTTACTTTATTAATTCAAATGGAAAATAACTTTATAAATTTTTACTTGTTAACGTCCTATGTGTAAATTGTCATTTTTCATTGCCATGATATCGTTGTCCATTGCTTTGTTAATTTAGACAATAAATAACTTCATAAATTTTTACTTTTCAATAACCTATGCATAAGTTGTCATTTCCCTTTACCATATTGTTATTACTTGTTGATTTGTCTATTTAAATAGAAAATGACTTCATAAATTTTCATTTGTCAATACCTTACGTATAAGTTGTCATTCTCCTTTGACATGTTATGATTACCCATTATGAAGTTATTAATATAATATTTACTATTTGTTGTTTAAAACAAAATTCTTCTACCAAACAAAATTTTACTTGTTAACATGGGGGTATATGAAAATTGTCAATAAACTATATATTGGCATATCCTATAGAAAAGCTATTTAGAGTCTTGTCCAATGACATTGTCCTTGAAAGTAATTCTGACATAATTGTTGAAGCTCCTCAGGATTAAACAGAACCCTCTTATAAAATGAACAAAGTAATAGAATAGTAGAAATAATGTAGGATTAGAAGAACTTAAGATGAAGAAGAGAAGAGCTCAAAGACCCTTGAGCAGATATAGGCTCCAAAAACCATGGGCGGTTTAAAGGAAAATAAAGATAGCTTAATGACCATTAAAAGATTAAATACTACTTAATGACAATTTATAGAAACTATTTCTAAATTTTAATATTAAAGGTAATTAATGGTTTATAAAGTGCCCAACACCACATCTAACTTGAACATAGAGAAAAAAGTTAAATCTCTATTATATTGGCCTATTCTAATGAGATTTAGATTCGACGACTGTACGTAATATAGGCATTGAATACATGTAATATATAAACTATTGAGATTCAAATCAACGATTCTGAATTCATACCCCACTTAAAACTAATAAATAAGTGACTTTATTTGAATCGTTGATTTGGCTTTTAACGATTCAAATACTACAAGCACTCAGTACCTGTACTAAATACATTCACCAAATTCAAATCCATTCACGAATCTACTTCTCTTTCTAGCCATCTATTTGGTTACATTTTTATCTTAGTATATATGCACTAGGGTTTTCTCAAGTTTGAGCAATGTAAGATTTTTTTTGATACGGAAACATAAAAACTCCAATATAAACTTGGTTCCTATAATGCCTATTATGAACAATTAATTATTAATCAACAACATACAAAAATGAAAGCATCACTATTCACCATAACAACACGTGTGTGTTTGGATATCGAAAATAATCAATTTTTGGCCCAAAAAATTGATTTTCCATAAACTTATCCAAACACCTATTTTTTTGGTTAATTGATTTTTGTGCCAAAAATTAATTATTTTTGAAAGCTAAGAATTGGAGCTTTTGTGAAAAGCTTGTCAAAAAGTGTTGGGAAAAATTACAAAGAAAGACTCAAGAAAAAATTACAAAAAAGCATATAATTTAATTAAAATAAAACCAAACTCTCTTCTTTTCTCTTTTTTTAAAATAAAATTCAAACTTTATATCCTTAAAAAATTGATCTTTAGTATTTAAGAGTTAAATTATATAGTAATTTATATAGTTAAAATTGATTCTGATTAAATTATCTAAACATCTTCAATTCTATTAAAATTAATTTTAAAAAAATAGTATCCAAACAAATTGCATTACAATATAATAAATTATGATTAAAATCTAATACTTAATTAATTATTTTTATAATTTATTATACTCAATTGAAATCTAAACCAACATTACAACTGTCAAGTAAACGCTTCACACACCCGAAAGGTTGTGGACCCTGAAACTTGGGACAAAGCATAATCAAATTGATCATATCACCAACTTTTGTCAGAAGTCAAGCTTGGTGGAATGAATGATTTGAAAGTCTGCTCCAAATTTGATGCTCCTTCAAACTATGAGCTACGACCTCAAGTGCAGGATACTAAAATGCAGGGTAGAATTTCTTTCCACAGACAAAACCAAAGATTAAGGACAAGATTGGAAGAGGAATTAGCAACAGTGTGTGTAAACGAATTTCTGCTCCCTTAAGTAGCCAACCAAATGCCTTGAAGTGTGGGGATGTTCAACACAAAAAGTTGGTCCAAAAGTTATAAGCCTTTAATAAACAGAAACTAATGGAGAAGGTAATAGCACACACTAAGAAATAAATTAAGAATAAGCACCAGGTGGTGATAATGAGCACTATAATCAGATTCAAAAATGGGAAGAAAAGACAAAGAAGATGGACAATCACATGGCTTCGTTATATGGCAAGGGGGAGAGAGTTTCAAATATTAGAAGAAGAAGATGCAGGAAAGAAAAACTGGATTTATTGGAGTGATTTTCTACCTTCATTTTCTTTTTTTAGATCATGGGTAATATAGTAATTGGGCAATGAAAATTATTTACAACGAAGTTTTTTAAGACTTCAAAACTATATATTTATTCATTTCATGGGAGTTTTGAGTTATTAGAATCCTTGTGTAAGACTAAATAGTGATTTTCCCTAAATTATTTATGTAGCAAATTCTGGAGTAATTGAGTTTGTGCCTTTTAAATCCCTGCCATCGCTATTATTCTCATTATTAAAGGATGTGAGAAATTACACCCTTTTTTATGTAATTAAATATGTTTGTTTCTTGTTTCACAAGGATTGGAGTTTATTTGTCCGTTATGTCAATAGAGACTTCAATATTCATGTATCATATTTTGCTAAGCTTGTTCATAAGTTAAATGCTAGTTTTTATACCTTTGATCATTTCTTACGTTTATCCCAAGAGATGATGGATGATGAAAGTGTTCCTGAAGGACAACTTATATTAATGCAATCTCTTTTGATTTTTAATACATTCCTTTCAGTCCCCAAAAAAAGAAAAAAAAAAAAACCCTTATCATCCCTTCTTTGTGTGGCCATTGGACTCCAATTATAGTTATATACTTAAGGAAGCAACTCAACATGATTGTAGCCAGCTCGTTTTCATGTCCTTTTATTTTTTTTTTATTTTAAATTTTTCTGCTTTATTGGAGTTGAAGGAGGATGCTATGATATAACTCAACAACTCATGGGAACCAACTTATGTATTTTAGCATAAATTTGTCCAATCTTTATGACTATTGTCCAATCGTCGTCGAATGTTTTTAATATGTGAGCACATCATATTGTTAAAAGACGACATATTGAAAAGAAAATCACGAAAAGCAAAATAAAATGTAAAATTAGAAAGGGCCATAACCACTATGGGGCAATTCGAAGGGGGGGGGGGGGAAGCCAACCAAATGATTAGTTTTTATTTTTTATTTTTTGAATAAAAGATTATTCATTCATACATTTTGATACTATAAAAGATTAAATTTAATATTTTTGTAATAAAAGATTAAATTTTGGTGAATGACAAAATTTTAAATGATGTTAAAATGTGACAAATTTATCTCTTAATAAATCAAATATAAAACTATCATTTTTACACATAATGATACTACAACTCATTAATTTGTATTAGGTATACATAGGGTGAAAATATAATGGTTATGTTTGGTTTAATATTAATATAAAAGATTAAATAAATAAGTTGGTTTCCTTATTTCTCAAATTAAAATCATATTTAGTTTATTTTATAAATTACTTCCTCTTAAAAAATGTAAGGTATTTTTTAAGGAGTTAAATGTTCAAAAATATAAAATATTTTTAATCTTTTGAGATGTAATCATTATTTTTTTTAAATATCTCTATTAATAATGATTTATATTTATTATAAAGTATTTAATAAAAATAAATATAAAAAATAAGGTTAATTAAAAGGTAGGTAACTATTTTATTGAAGATAAAATTCAATTAAAAAATAATGTGTGTATGCTGAATATATCATATCTTACATTTTTTTTTTTAAAATAAAGACGTATCATATTCAACGAACATGCCCATCATACCAATTTGAAGGCCCTTCATCAGTTGAATTATCAACACTTCATCAGTTGAATAAAGACGTATTCATTTACCATAATCAGTTATTAAAATTTTCAATTTGGTACTTCCAAATTAAAGGAGAATAATTCTGGCAAAAAAAAAATTAAAGGAGAGTAATTAATTAATATTTTAGAAATAAAGAATGTCATTCATAATAATGGGGAAAAAAAATAGAATACACTTAAATAATCAAATGAATGAATAATCTGAACCTTAAAAACGAAAAAACGACACCGCATCAAAGACGAGAGGCTAAACCCTACTGTAGTCTCTCTACATCACCAAAGCCACAGCCATGACCACTACAGCAGCAAATCCGGTGATGCCAAACCTGTTCAGGTCGGCGCTGCTTGCTGCCGGTACTGGTGCTTCTGACGTCGGAGCAGAGACCGAGGACGGAGACATTGTCGGAGCCCCAACAGGCGACTCGGAAGTCGAAGGAGAAGGAGATGACAGAGAAGATGCCTTAGGTGAAGCCGCCAGCACCGGCGGCCCTGTCGGAGACAAGATCGTGGGAGAAGAAGCCGGAGATCGAGCTGTTGTGAGGCTCACCAGCAGTGGAACTACCAGCATCAGCACCAACACAGCAGAGAAGCGAGCCATTTTAGAGAGAGAGAAACTGAAATTCTAGATAGAGAGAGAGAATGTGTAGTCCGTGAGACTGCAATTCAAGAGAGATGAGTTGCAGAGATAATTGTTTTGTGGTGGAGAAGAAGAAACCAGGAAGGGTATTTATAGGCAGAAGAAGAGAGCCGTTGAGAAGGCGAAATCATTATCACGCGGATCTCGAGAAAAAAGTGCACCGGCAAAGTGATTAGCTAGCTGAATTTTGAATTCTTAAAATTAAAATTAAATATTAAAAATATAATTTATAAAACAAATTATATAGAAATATATAATATCATGTAAATTATATATCAGATGAACAGATTTTTTATTCTTTTAAGCCCAGCTGTTTCAATATTTTAATCATAAAATATTAAATTTAAAACTCTTTAAAAATTTAAAGAAAGTAAGAAATTTGTCAGTTTCTTTTAGACGTTATCATCTTGGGCCAGTGAATTATAACTGTAGATGAATCGGATCCGTACAGGTGGCGTAGAAATTGAGGAAGAAGGACACGTGAACGCTGCTTCTTTTCTTACTAGCCGTTGAACGCCAACAAAGTAGTACTATTTTTGGTATTTCATGAAACACATTAAGTATATATGTAAATATCTTTTGGTATTACTTCGGAACCAAGTAGCCGTTGAACCTTAGCAAAATAAGGGCTGGCTTAATTAAAATTAAAAAATAAGTGATTTCAAAATAATTTAAATATTTTGTAAATATTTTATAAAAAACAAATATTAGTTTATATTTGATTATAATAATAAAATAATTATTACTTAGTTATTTTTTGATTTTATAATATCTTCATTTATAAAAATAATTTATGTTTATTTATTTTAAAATTTTAGATACTTTCATGTGTCTTTGCATTTTGTAGCATTTTTTTTCATCTATTGTATTAGAATATTTTTAAAATTTATTCAAAGTAATTTCTCAAAAAAACCAAAAATATATTATTTTTTATATTCTAATATTTTTAAAAACATTAAAATATATTTTTGATTCTCTAACTTTGTATAAAGTTATAGTTTGATTTTTAATTTTATAAAATATCTTTTCAATCTTCTAAACATAACATTATTGGTTAAAAATAATTACTTTTGTGTCAATTGTTTTTATCTTAAAAAATTAAACTTAACAAGTTAACATGTCAATATTTAAGAATATTTTATTAATATTTAAAATTTTAATAAATAATTGTGTTGATGGAACTGGTGGTGTCAAGGCCAACTAACTGAAAATACATTATAAAATTAACAAACCAAAATGAAGTCTTATATAAAATTAAAGAATTAAATGTACACTTTAATGAAAAATTAAAATAATTATCATAAAATGGATTATTCAAATATAAAATATTAAATGATTAAATATTAACAATCCAACCCTTCTGATACATTAAAATAAAAATAATAATGAATGGTTTATCATGAAAAAAGTGCTGTATATCATCCCAACCATTTTCACAAGAGGAGGTAAATGGTGAGAGATCCCTAGAGGAAGTCTAGACACTTGTAACTATCATGTCTGAATTTTTATATACTTATTCATGAAAGATTTAGGAATAAATTTTAAATAATGATACTTGTCAAATATGGAAAAATATGAGAAATGATTTTTAGAAGATATTGAGAGTGATCATTTGAACAAAGATATTCATAAGTGATGGGTTAATAAATAAGGATTATTTTTTTTTTGGGGTATAAAGGAAAAAATTAGAATTTGATGGAAATAAATATTTAAAAGAATTGCATTAATATTATTGATTAGGAAATACCTAAAAGAATTAATTATAATATCTAGAATATTAGAGCCTTGTAAAACCATCATTCTTCTTCCTGCCAATACTCCATAATAATCAATTACCAAAGCCCATTGTGAATCCATGGACGAAATTGAGTCTTTTCCTCTAGTGGATTAGTGTGGGGCTTCTCTTTTGAATGAAAATAATTATTCATAAATGCTCGATCAAGTTGGTGAGGAACTGCAACTAACATTTTTAAGGATGAGTGTTCGAATTATTGGGGGTGACAAACACGACCTCAAAGAGGTTATCTCATTGATAACCTTCCTATGTAAGGTCCACAATTTATGGGTTTTTGAATTAGTCTGGGGTGAGTAAAGAACTTAGCAATTATGCCCCAAGATTTCAAGTGGTTTCGACCAAAAAAAAAAAGAATTATTCACAAGCCACACATGGGAGTAGTTGCTCTGAACATGTAACAAATGAAAGTTAATAAGCAAACTTTCACTCTTTCCTTCCCTATTTTCAAAGTGAGTAGGAGAGAGAAAGAGAGTTTAACTTCCATGGAGTTTAAGAGTTTAGAGAGAGAAACTGTAACTCCGTCAAATACCATCCTTTTTAGCTCAAAATTCACATGCAAAATCAGAATCTAAACCTACTCAACTCAAGCTTTCATTTGAATCTAATGGTTCATGAAGATTCCCAAATTTTAGAAGGAAGTTAGGGAGATAAAGTCTAGCAACTCAAAGTTGTGAAATGCATGGAGTAAGGTAAGCATAAGTTTATGAATTTTTAGATGGATTGATGAGTTTAAAAGTTAAAATATGTAATTGAAAAGTACTGATCAGATATTCATTTTTTTACAACTTACTTATGGGTATTATGAGGTAAGAAAAATGATTGGAAGGTATTATGTAAATACCACTTAAAATAGGATTAAGAAAATTAATAATAAGTTTTGCCCTGTTATTTTGATTATTTTTATTGAGTAGGGGAGTCTCAATTGTTATGTGTACGGCTAAAGGAAATAATGATTTATTGAAGATTTGAGAGAAGAAAGAATATGTTTTTTTTTTTTTCTGAGGGTGAAAAGTTTGGTTTCTGTGGCTAATATAGGAAGTTGAAATGTAATTTATTTCTTGATTTTAGACCAAAATTTCACTGATTAGAGATCATATTGTGTTGTTTCAAACTATTATAGCGTAGTAGTAATATATAATAAGAAATAGGGGGTTTTATTGGGAGCAACAGTGCATGTACATCTTAAAAGGCAATTTCTCTTACTAATAATAAGAAAAAGAGTAATATAAGATGTTATAATTAAATTATGAATTTATTTATTTTGGATTGTGAAAATTGATATAATTGTAATTGAATAATTCTTTTAGGCTTTGATATTTGTGAGAAGCCCAAAGAAATTTATTTTCAAGAAAAGTTGGGACAAAAAAGTGTTTTGATATTTATCTAATTCTTGTACTGACAATGTTGATTGATTTAATGCTATATAATTTTTATGACCATGAATTATAGAAAATTTATGAATTAATGAGGTGTTTATTGCTAGTATGACACTTTGGCTATTATATGTCTATACTTGCTAAATTTCATAATTTATGGTCTAGGCTTATTTTTATGAGTGGATTATAATTGCTTGAAGCTTGAAATAGACTAATACTATTGAGATTTTTATAAATCTCACCTATCTTTTTATGTCACAAATAATAGATTCATCCAAGAACCATGGCAAGGAGAGAGTGTAATGAAGAATTTATCTTCTTTACCTTACTTCTTGATTATATTTTCATATATTTTGGAGTTGTAATATATATATATATATATATATACCTAGTTTCATAACTTTATTTTGAGTTGTAACTATGATAATACCTAGTTTAATTGTAATCATGGATAGATTTTATCTTAGTATGTAAATATTTTTATATATGGTAAAAGCTATTAGCATAAAATATTTATTCATGGTAACAAGATTCGTAAGGATATTGTAGTAGTTTTATGGTAATTATTACTTTAAATTTTTGGTCACTTAGAGGACATTTCCAGCTTCAAATGAAGTCCTACATTACTAAATTTGAACTTGTATATGATGAGATAAGATTTTTACAAAATAAGGTCAGAAATCTGGAAAAAAAATTCTGGAATTAACTGAAGCAATGAGAAACGAAAATTTCTCAATAAATAATGATGGATGTTTGAAGTCAGGGATTTTTTTTTCCTTGAAGAGGACTTTCTAAGCTTGATTTAGAGACTTGAATCACCACAATATGATTTTTATAAAATTAGTTATGAATTTTGTAAGTTGATGAAAAATTCTGGAAACGTGACCAAAAAATCAAGTTGACATTTTTTTTTTCTTTGATCTTTGATACTTGATGATCATCAAAGTTTAAGAAATGATCTTTATGATACTTGTTGTTAGAGGAGTAAAAATATAGAGATGCTTCAGTAACCTCTTGTGAGCTCTGGTCATGCATTTTCAGTGTTACATTAAAAAATTAAAAACAGAGCTGTATAGTGTATAGTCACAAGAGTAGGCTTTCTTTTTCTTATGCTATTTGTTTTTCACTTGGCTTTATTATTTTGATTTCTTAATTATTTTTATTTGATTACATTTTTATTTTTGTACCATACTTTTTTAAGAACTGTGATTTAAATTTTAAATTTTTGTGTGTTTTTAAGTAATTTCCAAATCTTTTTTTCTAATATTTTAAATGTAAAACGGACAAATATGATAAAATTGGAAGTTAACAAATTTTGGAAGAACTAGTCCTTTCGAGAAAGTCATTTCCTGATTTTTTTTTCCTTCATTGAACCAAAACCCTTCAAATTTCAAGTGAAAAATGATGATTAATGAAATTTCTAACTCTGGTCAATGAATTTGGATGAATTGTAAATAATTGTTTGTGGCGTATAAATATTTTAAAATAATTGTTTTCCATGCATAAATAATGTTTTGATGAACATGTATAAATAATGTCATTAAGAAACTCTCTCTCTCTCTCTCCCACCAATTAACTGTACCAGTAAAAGGGTTCTTTTGAAAAGTTATTAATTTTTTTTAACAATTAACTAATTTTTTATCACATAAAAGTTGTTACTAGGGTGAAAAAGTAATTTAACTTTTAAACTATAAGTTCAAGTGTATCTGAAATTCTAAACTTATTTTTTATACATTATTCTTTCTCAACTTTTAAAAATAATACAATGTAAATCTCATCATTGACAAAAGCTAATTTTAATTATTAATTAATAAAAAAAAAAAAAAAAGCATTAAAAATTACATAAAATGACCCAAAAAATTACAAAAAAAACCCAAAAAATTATAAAAAACTAAAAATATTTTATTGATCATTTTCTATAATTTTTAAAATTATTTTTTATTATTTTTCAGTCAATTAACAGTAAAAATTAATTTTTATTAACAGTAAAAATTACATTACATCATTTTTAAAAATTAAAAAAAATGTGACACAAGAAACAAGTTTAGAATTTCAAACATTCTTGAGCTTATAATTTAAAGATAAAATTGTTACTTGTTGATAAGACCTTATAAAAACAGCCTCATGGAGTCGTAAATTCTTTTGTTAAAAGAACATGTGAGGAATTCACGTGCACTTGAGCTATAATTACATGCATCATAAAAAGAGTATTTTCCATGTAAGTCTATCCACTCGGCTATGATTTCCAGAAAACAATGCGCTGGGTCAGAACACATCAAGCATGGGAAAGTCGCAGGTTCGATCATGTTCCTATGGAATAACTTGATAGTAAAATAATTTAGCCCCACTTTAGAGAAAAGAAAAGAAAGAAAAACAAGAAAAACAATTCATACATAAAAAGAAGTGTTGCCCACAAAGAATGCAATTTTTACAACTCATAAAGGCGGCAGCGACAGGCAACACCACCACCAACAATATGCAACACACTCTCACAAACACACATTTTCAAGCTCACGTACAAACACAAGCTAAGCTTGGCTTGAGGAAGGACCAAGAAAAAAGATAGACAAATCAAACCACCAGTAGAATCATGTTTCTCTCACTTGATGAATTCACCTATTTAAACTTCCAAGCATTTGCTATCAATTCTTTCAAATAAAAAAATTACATGAAATTGTCCACCTATCATGTTCTTATATAAGAACTTGATAGTGAACATCAGAAACATTTCACCTAAGTTTTCTAAATATGGTAAATAAATCTCTCTCGTAAGCTCTCATTCTCGGAAAATTTGCAAAGCAGGAAGATCATGAACCAGGAACAGCATTATTTGAATCACCAGCATTGGCTTTACCATTTCCAGTGGCATAACTGCTCAACTGGTTGTGAAATTCCAAGCCATAAATGTGGCCCATCTTGGCACGTTTGGTCTCCAAATACCTCCGGTTCTCCTTTGTGATAAGGGTTACTAACGGGATCCTACCAGAAATTGTCAAACCATAACCTTTAAGCCCAACATATTTTGCCGGATTGTTTGTCATCAGCTTCATCGATCGAACACCCAAGTCCCTCAACATCTGCAAATTGAGTTTCAAACATGTTGAAATTCAAGGATAAATCTTGTCTAGAAAAAACAGGCAAATCAAATAAATTATGAAAAATATGTTTCAGCATGTCAGACACTAACCCTTCATGTGCTAACTTGAGCCAAGTCTAGGCAGGCTAAAGCTCAAATTTGCCTTAAAGTTGATGGGCCTTAGAGGATGGACTTGAACTTAAACTCGTTGTTCTAGATGTTAGACCCAACCCTAGGTCCTATGTTAGGCAGAGCAACAATCCTAGTCGGACCTCTTTTCAATAATCTCTTTCACATGCTTAATTATCTCTCGCCTTTTTGATTAATTTGATCTCCTAAACGTTCTTATCCCAGCTCTACCTAAAAATTGAATTCTAGATTGTGAATCAACATGGAGTAAATGTGCATAAATGCTAAGAAAGTAGTTTATGCAGTTGAATACTCTAACCGTAAAGTACAATTCACACTACTTACCTGTGCACCAATGCCGTATTCTCTCGAGTCAACAGGCAGCCCCAACTCCTCATTGGCTTCTACAGTATCCCGTCCATCATCCTGTAAGTTATATGCACGAAGCTTGTGGCCGAGCCCGATGCCTCTTCCTTCGTGTCCTCGAAGATATACCAGGACACCCCTGCCAGCAGCCTCAATCTGCTGCATCGCAAGCCCAAGCTGATTCCCGCAGTCGCATCTGGCAGATCCAAATATGTCTCCAGTGAGACATTCAGAGTGCACCCTCACGAGAACATCTTTTCCATCCCCAATGTCACCCTGTTTTTTTTTTTTTAAAAAAAAACAGTTTTGATCACAAATACCACCCAGAATTGACTAATGAACAGCATAAAATCCAAATAGAAGACTTCCAGATTCTTAGAAAGAGCTTGGAAAAGTTTATTAGCTTAAGAGGCTTATATATATGAATTGACAAGCACCTATTTCTTAAAGACAAAACTACAGGCCCACATAAAATAAATCAGTTGAACAAACACCATCATTCTTTAAACTTCTGTTATTTTAAGGACCTTAATAGAAAAGGAAGAACAACAATCTTTACTTCTAAAGAGATGGAGGTTATTTGAAAACAAGTAAAATGCCAATAATTGTTATAAATGTCTTAGAAGAAGCTGCCCATTGAGCTAAACAGGCATCAATATGCCATTTGGCATACTTTCATCCATAGCTTTGCTTGTCCGCATAGTTTTACACTTTTACTTTCATTCTAGTTACTCTTCAGCAGTCACTCCCTTCATAGATAAGACTAAATGATTACATAGCATTGGATGGTTGTCAGGACAATCCCAGTGAGGCTTGGCAGCAAAAGTTCAATCAACGTAGGGAATATAACTAAATACTTTTAAAACTATCGACACAAAGAAATAGAAACAAAGTAATGCAACGATACCATAAAAACAGGCAGAAGGCTCAACCCCTGAAGCCAAAATAGTCTGATGAATACATCAGGTAGCAGTGCAAAACAAGAAATAAAAATCTCAATGATTACAGCCTTGACTTCAAAGCCTGGTCTTTCATTCATCTTTTAGCTTTTAGCCTTGGGCATTTTAGTTTAAAATGTGAACCCACTATTTAGTATCCACTATCGAGTCCCCTCATGCTCCCTTTTCCAGATGAATTTTTTCATCAAGATAGGTTTGCTCTTCAATACTCTTCATCAAATTTATGAGCATGATAAAGCTTAAGTAGGCAGCTTCAATAAAATGACTATTGAATAAACCTTTTTTAATACAATTTTCATAAACAAACTAGATTCTGATCCAGCAGAATTTAGTCTTGAATTTTAGTTTACAATAGATGCATAGGACTACCGTAGCTAATGACCTCAATTTGAGTTTTATGTTGCTTGTTTTTTAATTGCTCGACCAATATATTGGTGGTATGCAGACCATTTCTTATAAAACTCATGAATACTATCATGGGTTTAAAATCTAGGTGGTTTCAAACAATCATTCCAAGCACCAAATTTAGGCTAAGCGATAGGAGTAAATGGCAGAATATACACCAGATGAAATAAATTAATATAGCAGAATGCTCATACATACATAAATATTAGTAAATTATTATGTGCATGACTATATAGTTCAATGGAAGCAGAAGCGCTCCAAACCTTAACCATTGCAATATGTTCCATCCCATCTAAAAGTGATCTGTAACAGTAAGCAGTGAACGGGCCCCACATTGTAGGTATTTGCGCAGCACCAGCAAGAACTACTAATTTATCTCTCTTCCTTCTATATCTGCCAGAAGAATAAGTGTTAATCTCCTTGATAAGTAAATAAGCAACAGAAGAATCCATTCTGCATGAGCTTTAAATAGGGGAAGCTTTTTTTTTGGGGGGGGGGGGCGGTGAAGAGAAGGGACAACGTAACCTTGTAGCCTTGTAGAGAGTGAATTTTTAACTTCAATAAAATTTCTGTTTTTTTTTTTTTTTTATTTAGTGAATTGAATGCAGGGCCATCAAAAAGAATGATTTGAGGACTCCCATATAATTAACTATGTATAAGAATTTTCATTTATTAATATGTTGCAATGTAAAAACAGTTGACCAAGGATGCCACATGTTAAAAATTAGTATCACAGAAGTTGAACAGATTCAAATTCTAATCAAGTGGCTTGAATTTTCAGGCCAAAAAAAGGAGAAAAGAAGTGGTTAGAATTTAGTAGAATATCAAACAACATTTTCAATTGTGGTATCTGTGCTTAAAAGCAAAATCTAAACATGACAACAAAAGTATGCATGCAGCAACAGTCTTTGTACATCTTCCAAGAAACAAAAAAAGTTACCTTATTAAGTCAGCGATAGAAATTATTTTCAAGTTTTCATGCTCTGCAAACTGGCGAAGCTTTGGCAGTCTAGCCATGGAACCATCATCATCTACAACTTCACATAGAACTGCCGCAGGTTCCAAACCTGCAAGTATGGCAAGATCAACTGACGCTTCTGTATGTCCAGCTCTCTTCAAGACTCCACCTTCCCGGTATTTTAATGGAAATATATGGCCTGGACGATTAAAATCAGATGGTTTTGAATCTTTGGATGCAAGAGCCAAGACTGTTGTTGCCCTATCCCTTGCTGACACCCCTGTGGTGGTACCTTGTTTAGCATCCTACAAATGCGATGTAAATTGTTTAAATCCATCACTATATGTAAATAAATGCCACAACTAAATAAAAGAGATTTCCAACAACATAACAGTGATGACGAACATATATCCTCCAAATCGAATGTCATTTTGAAAAATGATAATTGTTGTCACTTAAACTCTTGGAAATAAAAGAATCAGGTACAACAAGCTAATGTTAGATGAAACAATTTATTTCCTAAAGTTTAGTTCTCTGCTAGTTCTAGCTGATGACGGCAACAGAAGACCCCAATGAGGGTTAAGCATTGAGTCCAGATGTGAATGCGCATTTAGTAATAATACATACCACTGTCACAGTGAATGCAGTACGAAGTTTCTCATCATTATCCTTACTGTCTACCATCAAAGGAAGTTCCAATCTCTCCAGATCTTCCTCTTTCATGCTTACACAAACTATCCCAGTTCCATGCTTCACAATAAAAGCCATAGCCTCAGGTGTTGCCAATTGTGCTGCCATTATCAAGTCTCCTTCATTTTCCCTGTCCTCATCATCTACAACCAATACCATCTGTGTCACCAATACCAGTCAGTAAATAAAGTTAAGCTGACAGCAATACAATAGCATGACTTTAACCAAATTTGACCAAAGAAAAAAAAAATCTTCTCAAAGGGAAGATGAAAAGGAGAGAGAGGGACATGCTTCTCAAAGGGAAGAGGGGGAGAGGGGGAGGGAGAGAATAACAACCTTTCCCTGGCGAATATCCTCAATAGCCTCAGGGATTGAAGCAAAACCTTCTGTGGGCAAATCAAATTCATCATTATCAACAGGAAAACCCATGCTTGTTGCCACTGTATTAGTTGCTTGTATTCCATGTCCAATTGCTTGTTTCTCGACATTATTTCCATTTGAATTTAAAACAATGTCGTCTCCTCCAGATATCAGAGTTGCCTTGATTTTACCAACACTCCTGACACTTGGCAAGAATTTAGAATTTAATCGAACAATTGCCAAATCAGATGCAAGTCCTTGAATAGAATGCAACCCATTGAACAATTTTAAATGTTGGCATGCCCTGCATAGAACACTAGAGAACAAAACAAGTTCAATTAGTAATTGTCATATCCAAACATAACCAAAAGAAATAGCTGAATATTAGAGGCCAGTTGATGGTTCAGTAAAACTCTTAGATCCAGGAAACAAAATACGGTTCAGTAAGTTAATATGTAAGGAGACAAACTTTATCTAAACTATTTAGACATGAACGTTAAACATTTTCCCTAATATAAAGTAATGAGGGCAGAGTTTTCCCCAAAAAAAAAAAAAAAAAGTAATATGGGCAGGATACAAGAAAAGAATTTGAAGAAAGTTGGAAAAGCACTACGTACATTTGATCATTTGATGGACATCCTAAAGAATAGTAGAGCTTCACATAAAATACAAGGTCATAATCAGAATTTCCACACCAATTAAGGAAGTGTCGTTCATTTAAAAAGAAATGAAAAAATAATCGTCTCTCCAATAAGTATATGCATATACTAGAAAGCTGGCGAGTCACATTGAACTGAATCAAGAACCAGATTCCTTCAAGCAGAGGCCATAGATATATTATGGCTCATAATTCAAGTCAAAACCATTGTAATTGAAAAAGAATTCAACAAGTTGGCTTCAGATAACGTCTGCAAAAGGTTGTATCGCCTACACTGGAAACTGTTCTGTCAACAGTTAAAAATGCGTGCAATCGAACCAAAATGCATAAACATCATATAGAATAATTATATTTTCCGAGAATCAATCGCAGATAGATAAACGAATAACAGGATTAAAGCAAGCCAATAGTGAATCAAGAATGAATAACACGAAGCAAAGAAAACACAAAAGCACAAGACTTTATAACCAGAAATGGAATTATCGTGAGAATTCACCCATGACGACCCAATCCCAGAAGGCATCAACCGTTTCTCTCTGAGAGACCAGAGAAATTAAACAAGAGGCCAGGAAAAAAAGGGGGGGCAGAAACTCACCTAGGACGCGAGAGAGATGCTGGAGAAGAATAGGAGAAATTGAGAGACGCCATTGTTTGCTGAAGCCTGAGGATTCCCTTGAATGCTTGAGGCTGAATCAAGGGTTGCTTCGCTAAGGTTCTGCTACAGACGGTTGATAAGAAGAGTTAAGACTCCCTCGCTCCCGTTCGTTTCTGTGTCACTGACCGAATTTATGTGTCCGTTTCCTTCGGATCCGTTTGAGAAGAGAGCCTTTCAATAATGAAAATGAATGGAAAAAATGAAGAAGATAAAGATGAAAAGAAAGCAAACCAACAATGGATTTGGTAGGTCGGTGGAAAGAGGGAAATAAAAAGGGGGAAAAAAAACAAGTTAAAGTGGTCAAATGGTCCTGTCGAAAAAATTCAAGTCCAATTGGGAGGCGGCTTGTATGTTGTATCTACCTTGTTAGAGTTGTTATTATTATTATTAAATTAAAGTTGACTTGATGGTTTAGATTGGATCATTTTTTAAAAATATAAATATAAATAGAATAATAATATAATTTGTTATTCCTTTTAACTATTGATTAATTAAAATTTTTTAATTCCTAAAAATTAAAATTTTTGAAACTTTTCTTTAAAAAGAAAATCAAGAATTTTTGTTAAATGACTATATAACTTTATAATTAATTACATAACTTGTATAACTAAAAAATTACATGATTAAATTTCATTTTAAATATCTTGTATACTTATAGAATTTTCATAAAAATTAATAAAAATGTAAACAATGTATAAAATCAAATTTTTTTATGTCAGCTACAAGTATTAAATTCATTTTTTTATAAACTCCATCTAATAATTCATTATTCATTTTAACCTTTAAGAATTAATTTATTTAATAAATCCAATTAGAAGGGGTTGATTAAAATAAAATAAAATATAAGGACATGTAGATTAGTTTTTCTTAATTCTTAAACTTTGACTTGTTATAACTAATCTTTATAGAGTTTAGAAATTATGAAGATTAAATTATATTGAGTCAAAAAATTATAATTAAGAACTAGATTGTTCTTAGTCAATATATATATATATATATATATATATATATATATATATATTATATATATATATATATATAAAGCTGTTCCAATTCAAAGATAAGAAATTGAATCATACTGTTTATGTACTAAAAATTTTATTTTCCAAAATATAAATTAATTTTCATTGTTAAAATTTGATATGTTTTTAGTTCATAAATTTTTATCACTTCCACAAATTACCATTAATCAATTAAAACTACAAACTTCTACTATTGAATTTTAAAATAAAATTTGTCATCAGAAGAAATCAATTAGATATATGAATTTTTAAAAAAATAATTCAAATATTTTACTAAACTTTACTCCTTTCATTTAAAAATGTAAGTCATTTTTAACTAAATCTCACCCTAAATAAAGTAGTTACTTATCTTCAAATAAATTATATATTTTTATATTTATTCTTATTTAATAAGATGTTTCATCCTAAAATAAATATAAGTGATTTATTTAATAGAGATATTTTTAAAAAGGTAATGATTATACCTTTAAAGATTAAAAATGTTTTATATTGTTGAAAATCTAACCCTTTAAAAAAAATTTTTTATTTTTAAATGAAGGAGTATAAAATTATATGATATTAAAAATTGAGCAAAACTTTTAAAAAAATATTTTATATTATAGACCGAAGAAGTACTGTAACTTTTATAAGTACATTGAGAAAATTATTTGTACCGGTATTTTTCAAGAAGTGATAGTTTGGCGTTGAATAAAGTTGAACTATATTTCCACTTTAATTGTTTCTTATATTCGTTCCTATTTTATAAAAGTAAACGGACGTAAAAGAAAAATTGCTTTGGTATGTTTTGGCGACATCATTTTCCGGATTTGGGAAGGGACCTTGAAACTGCAGCAGCCCACTGAATTTGAAAGGCAAATCCCTTCGGAGTTTGGGCCACACGGGCATCACAGCGATGAGCACTGCGCGCTCATTACACGTGGCCAAATTGTGGCCTTTAACTTTATCATCATTCATTTTAAATTAATTTTCAAATATTATATTTATTAATATAAAAATTATAAAAAAAATTAATATTAAATCTGGATGTTTAGAGTAGATATATATGTGACATGTAAAAATAATAAAAAAATTTAATATTAAATTAAATTATCTAAATTATAATTGAATTGTTTAAAGTATATTTGAATAGTCAAATTATAAAATTATAAAAAATTTTAATATTAAATTGAATATTTTAAATTATATTTGTACCAAAAATATTGGTAATAGACAAATTGATTTAAAATTTTATATTTTTTAAAATTTTTATTTTGATAACTGTAATTAAAAATAAAAAATTTTAAATTTAAATGATATAAATCTCGTTAAATATTATGAGTATCATAGTTTTTATTTTTGAATGAGTACAAAAGACAGTTTACATTTAATATCAAAATTTTTTATAATTTTTATATTAATAAATATAATATTTAAAATATTTAAACATTAATTTAAAGTAAACGGTTGAGATCATTTCAAAGTGAAATGAAAGGCCACAATTTAATCACATAATGATAAGTGCTCCGTGCCGAATGCAAAATCTTAGAAGTCAGGTCAAAGAAGAGGCTCACAACATTTACAATTATTTTAGCTTTTTATTTTTAAATTTTTTACATTTTTTAATCATATTTTCATTAAAAAAACAATAAAATCTCCTGTACAAATAATAATTTAATATCTTGAAATGCTATTAATAAATTATAAAGCAAAAGGGCCATTTTATCTTTATTAAAAGTAATAAGCCTTAATCATAATTTTTACTTAAAAAATAATAAATTTTATTTTGTGAATTACAAGAATTAAATAACAAATTATAACTTATCAAACGTAATTTTTATTATTAAAAAAAGCCTTAATCATAACTCATGATTAAGGAATAATAACTTTTTTTATATAAATCATAAAAATTAAATAAAAAATTACAATTTGTCAAGTATAATTTTTGTTATTGAAATTAAAATAACAAACTTTTATTTAAGGAACAATAACTTTTATTTAAAGAATCATAAGAATTAAATAAAAAATCATAACTTATCAATAAAGGTAAAATAATCTTTTTAATTTAAAATTTATTCACACAAAGGTCCCCTAAAAACTTCAATGAAATTATAACATTTTGATGGATCAAATTATCATTTATATAATTTGAGAAGATTCTATTATCATTTTTTCTATTTTCATTAAATATTTGGGAGAATGACAAATAAATTTCTCAAAATAGAAAAATGATAGTTTAGTCCCACAAGATATGATAATATCTTCTAAGTCTCAAAAAAATCTAATTGTCATTAAAGTTTTTGATGTCTCATCAAAGTTTTTAATGACAATTAGATCTCTTGAAACTTAAAAAGTATTATCATATTTCACAAGATGAAATTATCATTTATCTATTTTAGAAAAATTTATTTGTCATTTTCCCTAAATATTTTATAAAAGTGTCCTAATAATAAAAATTAAAAGTTTAGTATATCATTTTTTATTGAGAGAAACAAATGAAATAAGAATATGATTGAAAAATAATTATAAAAATTGTCTAATGTTTTATATTTTAAATTAAGTACTCTCTCCGTTCAAAAATATAAGGCATTTTTAATTGAATCTCATCCCTCAATAAAGTAGTTACTTACCTTTCAACTAACCCTATTTTTTTATATTTATCCTTGTTAAACACTTATAATAAATATAAAATCATTATCAATAGGGGCACTTTTGAAAAAAGGCAATGATTACATATCGAAAGATAAAATGCCTTATATTTTTTAATATCCAACTCTTTAAAAAATATCTTATATTTTTCAATCGAAAGGAGTAAAATTTTAAAATATGATTCATCATCAAAAGAAGTCTATTGAATACTTCAAGAACTTGTACCACAAGTCATGCTAATTTATAGTTTAGCTTTGCTATATTATTTGACTGAGCGATTTTTTGCATAGATTACACAAATAAGATAATGAAAACACATTTTTATTTATACCACGTACAAAATATTAATATTTTTCCTTATATTAGGAGTGTTTGAATTTTGATTTTTGAACCTACTTCTTCACATCAAATTACTGCTCAATCTAGTCTCAGTATTACATAATTTTGACAATCGATCCCATCATAAAAGGCAATGTTTTGATGTGTATTCGCCACCCCAAAACTCAGTTTCATACAGATTTGAATTTGAAAACACATAAATGTAAAAGCAGCTTTCTTTGCCTCCATATGTTTTTATCTTAGGGGAGGATTGAGGAGATTTTAATCAATTCGATTTTTTTAAAAAAATTGCATAAATGGGGGTTATAAAATTTTATTAAAGATAACATCTAAATTAAAAGAGTAAGAAAATTAACTAAATTTGTTTAACCCCACTTAGTTTTTTTTAAATTAAATTAATTAGAATCTCCCCTCCTCTTTCCTCCCTCCCTCCCACTGATGTCCAATCAAACAAATTAATTTTAAGTGGTTAAGGATTCAAATTTCAACTCCTGTAAATGTAGTAATTTAATTGAAAAAGGTTTGCCCTTGCTTTCAACACCTCAGGAGAAAAAAATCTCTATGCTTGGCGAAAGTCCTCATGCTAAAAAAAAGGGAGGGGAGGATGATAAGTAAGAACCTTATAAAAATATTAATATCAAATTAAGAACTTTAACACTAAATATGATAAAAGAGGCACTAAAATTTGAGAATGTTAGTGTTCAAAATTTTAATTTGACATTAATATTTTTATAAGGTCCTTATTTGTTACTCTCTAAAAAAAATTAAACTCTTGTATAGGGATCTCATTGTTTATTGTTAAAGAGAAAAAAAGATGATATTTTTAATTACTCACAGATATCTTTTTATTAGAAGTAATTTTATTTAATACATGGCCAGACACTAAATATAGGTGTATTTCTACTAATAAAAATTTAAATTTTAATTTATCATGTTGTAAATAATGAGTAGCCCTTTTGCTAGACATAATCCCGATTACTTAAAAAAGAATAATTTTATTGAATGTTATTCAGTACTAGAATTTTTTTTTTTTTGGGATATCTTACTAGAAAATCGGATATAGTCCAATGCATGAAACAAATGAAAGGCCGACAAACATGCTGGCCCAGCCCAACAGGAAGCCCATGAATGAAAAAGTATGGAGAATGTCCGTTATTATGAGTGATCTCAATTCTCAATTCTCAATTCAAGGAGGAAATCTCAAATGTTTTTTTTTTTTTT